CAAAAAGCCCCAAAGATCGCCCAAAGCTTGCCCAAGAGGCCTCCAAGACGGCCAAGATGACCTTCAAGATGCCCACGTGTTCCCCGAAGGCTTTCCAAACCGATTCGGGGAACACGTGGTCCGATAGCTTGGCAGGTCTGGCCTCAACGTTCGGCCACATAGGCGCTTCCAAAAAGGCAGGGGGCGGCGGTGATTCGCCGTAGGCGTCTTCGATCCGCCGCCCCCTTTTGGCTTGCCACAGGCAGGCCTGCGCTGGATCGATTCGTTAAGTCGGATCGGATCGGAAAAAGTCGAATCGCCAGCGAATTGTCCCGAATCGAATCGAGATCGGATCGCTGCGCCTGGCTCTGGCTGGCCCTGGGTCGGTGAATCGAGCCGAATCAAATCGAATCGAATCGGAACCGCGGCCCTGGCTGGCGAATCGAGTCGCATCGAATCGGATCGTAGGCGGCCCTGACAGGGGTGCCCGGCATGCTGGACTTATTACGCTCTTGGTTTTGGTTCTTTTGTCCGAAAGAATTCCTCCTGGTGCTTCGGCCCAGCGCGCTGGCCACCCGAAAGGGACTATAAACGAGCACAACATCCACAAACAAATCTCCAAGACAGTCAAGATGGCCTCTAAGATGACCGCGTTGGCCAAAGATGACCTCCTAAGACGGCCCGAGATGGTCAAAGTTGCCTCCAAGTTTGCCGAAAGAGCCATCAAGACGGCCCACGACGGCGCCAAGATGACTCCGAGTCCGCCCACGAAGCCTCCAAGTTGGCCCCAGACGGCCCAAGAGGCTCCCAAGATGTCCCCAAGACATCCTCCAGGAGAGCCCGAATAAGCCAAAATCAATGGCTTCCCATAGGAATTTGAAAGATTTTGGCATGGTCTTCTTTTCGGGGCCCCGACCGCCCACGACGCCCCAAGATCCCAAAATGGCCCCAAAGGCTTCCAAGATGACCGCATGACGGTCGAAGAAGCCTCCAAGACGGCCTCAAGAGGGCCCCAAGACGCCCCAAGAGGCCTCCAAGACGCACAAGATGGCCTCCAAGACGGCCCTGGAACACCCCAAGAGGGCTCCAAGTCGGCCCAGAGAGGCCCCCAAGACGGCTTCCGACGGCGTCACATGGGCCAAGAGCCCACCAAGACTGCCCAGGATGGCTCCAAGATGCCCCAAAACGGCTCAAGGGGCCCCCAAGAGGTCTCCAAGACGGCCCAGGAGGTCTCCAAAAGGGCTCCAGGACGGCCCGAAGAGGCCAAATTCATCGATGTCCCATGTCCCATGCGTTTTTGCCCCATTGTGGCATTTGATTGTGCTCGGCCTCCCGATGGCCCGAGACGGCCCAAGAGCCCCCAAAGATCGCCCCAAGATCGCCCAAGAGACCTCCAACATTGCCCCAGAACGTCCAAGACGCCCAAGATAGCCTCCAAGACAGCCTTGGAACACCTCAAGAGGGCTCCAAGTCGGCCCAGAGAGGCCCCCAAGACGGCTTCCGACGGCGTCACATGGGCCAAGAGACCACCAAGACGGCCCCAGATGGCTCCAAGATGCCCCAAAACGGCCCAGGAGGCCCCCAAGAGGTCTCCAAGACGGCCCAAGAAGCATCCAAGAGGGCCTCCAGGAAGGCCCGAAGAGGCCAAAATCATTGGTTGCCATCGGTGTTTGAAGGATGCTGGCATGCGTTTCTTTTCGGCCTTCCGATGGCCCGAAGCCGCCCAAGAGCGCTCCAGAACGGCCCACGAGGCCCCCAAGAGCCGAGGCCCACGTGGACCTGACTGAGTTGCCACCCGCGTAGTTTCGCCCGCGCGCGCGGGCCTGGCACGGCTGCCGAGGCAGTCGCGCGGCCACGCGACGAAGCCTCGGCCTCCCGCGCGGCCCAGCCGAGCCCCCCCAGAGTCGGCAAACCTGTCCATCGCCTGGGCGACGGTCTTCAACATCACCACGCGCACAACGAAGGCCCGGGCGAAGATGACACTAAGGTGGCACGCAATCTCCTGCACCAGCTCGGCCGGCAAAGCCTTCGCAACCTTGGCCCAGCGCCCTCGACCAATGGCCGAGTCAGCGAGCGGTTGCCACGCACGGTGGTGCCGAGCCTGCAGTACATGTCTCTGCTTGTCTACAATATGCATCAGGCCCTCGATCCTGCGCCGCGCGATCCGAAGGGCCCGAGAGCACGCCGCGCCGGCGGGCTCGCGACGCGCCAAAGCCCCGCCAGAGGCGGCGGCCTTGTAAGCCTCCGTGGCTCGCCCAAGCACCGGCGACCCAGTCGCCCAGGAAAATGCTGCCGCCAGTCTCGGCGACTCGATGGGGGCCCTCAGGTCCCCCAGCGAGGTGGCCGTCGATCTTCTCCGCGAAGCTGGAGGCTTTCTGCTCCTCGGGGCTGATACCCCAACCCGCAGAGACTACAAAAGCCGCCCCAACAAACCAACATATGTGTCCAAGCGTCTGCAAGCGGGTCGCGTTATCAACCCAAACCCGACGCCTTGCCCCTGGCATGAACAAGACATGAAACCCCCGCGGGGCCCACGGTGCACGCGCGCACCCACGCGCCAGGCGGCCACGAGCACGCGGTTGCGAACACCTGGGATGGAGTCGAGGCAAGTCGTGCCGACGTAGCTAAGCACGAAGAGGCCTGCCCCAGCCATGGGCTCGCCCGTTGGGCCCCGCGATGAAGGCCTTCCACCCGTGTCGACGGCACCATCCCTCAGCCCAACGTCGCAGGTCGCCCTTGAGGTGAACCTACTGCGAGGCGGTGATCTGAGACCCAGCACCTCCTTCATCAAGAAATTCCCCGAGATGAGCCCAACGATTGGCGATGTAGTTCACGGTTCCGAAGGGTTGCCGTTGCCCTCGACGAGAAGCACGGCGCACGCGTGGCAGCGCAGCCCGCTGCACACGACACCCTGACTGCGACGCTCGAGGAGCACGCTGGCAGGACGGCCCCGCCCCGGCAAAACTGGCTGCACCCACACCGTGAAGGTCGGAGCGCGATGTGGCTGGCCAAACTGGCGACGGCTGAGCTCCACCAACGCTCGAGGCGCACGCTGGCGGAGCAATCCCGTCCGCGGCTTGACTTCCTTCGAGTAGAATGACATGCGAGGCGAGTTCTGACTGGCTCAAAACAATCGGCGATCTGACTGGGTCCGCGCTCGAGGCGCACGCGAGCTCACTGGCGCCATCCGCAACGCAACTGGCAGGACGCTCCAGACGACTATGCGTGACACGGCGCTCGGACTGCAAAACTGCGACACCTGAACCGCGGCAGCGCTCGAGGCGCACGCTGCCAACGGCGCTCCTGACCACGACCCAACGTGGCCGATGCTCGGGTCCACCTGGTACTCGATGGTCTGCGAGGTGCCCTGCAACACGCCACTGGGTGGATACGTCGTAGATGTAGAAGCTGGCCCGTCTGCATGTTGTTGAACCTGGTCAGCGCCTGCACCAGGCCAACGAACACGGAGTGACATCTGGCAGCGATCCGCCTCCATCATTCTCCATGGCGGCCCTGGCAACACCCTGAGCAACGGGGCCTGTAGGAGGAACTGGTTGTGGCGAAGATGGTAACACATGCGCCGTAGGTGTTCTTGGCGCAGGCGGCTTCGATGTCGGGTTCATAGCAAGCGCGGCGATACCTTGTTGTAACATGCCCTGCAGCAGCGCGACCTGTTGAGCGAGGGAGGCCAGCATGATATGTAGATTCCCAACCTGCAGCGCCGCTGGAGCCGACTGCACGACGGTGTGAAGCCTGTCGATCGCCTCCTGAAACGGAGGCTGATGTGATCCATTGGCTCCAGCACCCGCGGAGGCCAGCACAGCAGCGCAAGCCAGATTGATTTCGTTCTGTATGGCCACGAACTCGCCCTTTCCCGACTCCAGCGCAGCCTTCTTGGACTCCAACTTCTCCTTGAGCTCAGCCACACCTGACTCAAGCTCTTCGACCTCTCGTCCTTTGGCGGTCTGGTGGTCGAGGGCCCTGCGGAGCATGTCGTCTGGCGTGCGCTTGGACTGATCCTCACCCTCGGCCGCCTCGAGGTCCTTCCGGGCTTTAATGACGACAGCCGCATCCTCCTCGAGGCCCAACCCTCGGAGCACCTGAAGGGCACGACGGGCTCTGGCGACGGGATCCCCGATCTCATTGCCATCAGCACCGTCCTTGTCGCCCTTGGCGTTCCTGTTGGTCGCTCATCGCGAACCTGGGCGTGAACGAGGCTTCGATGGAGCACGCTTCGGTACGAACGTCGGGTCTGGAATGTCTCGCCTACCGCGGCCACAACTGAAGCATTGAGAATTAGCACTGGCGTGTCGCCGCACGGGCCCAGTGCGGGTCCCTCTGCTGGCCAGCGGACGATCTCGACTTCGACGACGGCACATCTGAAACAGCGTCGCCACCCATCCGCGGTGGAAGAGGCACGTGATGTCGCTGGAGCACGTCCTCTGCTTGTTCAATCCGCAAGAAACGCCTGGCAGCCGACCGCCGCCTCCGCAAGGAACGATGCAAAGCTGGCGAGCGAGATCTCAGCGAGAGTCTAGTGTGAGAGCGACCGCGCGCGTGGGGGATGTGCGCGGGCCTGGGGGCAGGTGCAGTATCGGGCTCATGCATGCCGCGGCGACCTGCCAGCCTGGGAGGAGGAGAAGGAGGAGGAGGAAGACCAGGAGGATCGGATCGGACCGGCAGTCCGCGAAAGCTCCACGATGTGGAGACAACCGGGGGGTAAACACATAAAATCCAACCCAGGACCGGGAGGAGAGCCGAGGAGGGAGGAGGAAGAGGAGGTAGAGGGGAGGAAGAGGAGGAGGAGGTGGAGGAGGAGGAAAATGGCGGAGAGAGGTGGTGCGCAGACGAAGGGAGCGAGGAAGGGCGAAGGCCGCAGGAGCGTGGGAGGGGGTGCGACGACGACGACGACGACGACGACGACGACGACGACGACGACGACGACGACAAGGACGACGACGACGACGACGACGACGACGACGAGGACGAGGCGGCGTTTGCGAAGGAGCGCGCGCGCGCGC